CACTGCAACTGCTTCGGCGTTGATGACTTCCATGCTCACCATCTCTCGCCGTGGTTACGGTTGCCTTCCCGAAGGTACTTTGTTGACGAAATTGTTTTAGTTGTGAAATTTGATTAATTATGATTCAAATTGCTGGCTGTTTGTTGCTTGATTGGATTGATTACCTAGTTGATTATTTGTAATTGATAATCTGAGTAGCTATGATTTGTAGGTATGCTTGGAGCTGTAAGTGTAGTATGAGCATTTTATGTCTTTGTTTTGGTTATTGGTAATTGATTTTAAATGGCCAGTATTATGCTCATTTATGTGTAAATACTGAACTGGTATTCCTACGATTTTTTAAGGATAAGTCTGAGTGCAAGCGGGGGTGTATTTAGGGGGTGCTTGGAACGAGGTCATCTATTTAAAACAAAAACACATTGCATAGAAATAGAGATAACTAAAAGTGGAAACTGGGAGAGGAATATGATATAAAGGAAGATCTTTGTCAAGTAGATTGAAGAGGGTGGGGTCCATTCAAGGATCAAAGTATTGGACGAGTTGTATCCATCTCGGCCGTGTCGTATCACCTTCGATTTGATAACGATACACGATATGCAAATATAATGTGATAGAGCTAAATCGGTATTGACTCGGTTACAGCTCAACCATATCAGACCAACTCGGCCCAAATCGAACCAACTCGGCTAAGTCAACACCGAATCAAGCTACCTCTGCAACTTCTCATACAGCCATCACCAGCCAAAAAAAAAAAAAAAAGAATTTGAAGAAAATAAGAGATCCAAGAAAATAAGAAATTATATGTAACCCTAAATCACACCCATTTTTCTAATACTTCATTGGGAAGAAGAATTGAAAAGATTTTAAGAAAACTTGAAAGCTGTGAAGTGGCGAGTCCTTTTTTTCCTTCTCCTTCTTCCTCTTCTTTTCTTTGACGAAACAATTGCATAGCCTATAGCTATAACAAACAACTTTTTTCTTCGATTGAAATTGTCCCAGATTCTCTATCTCTTCTCTCGTCTTCTCTCTCTGTCTTGTCGTCTCTTGACTCTCATTGTCTGTGTCTCATCGTCTCTTGTTGGTTTTTTGTATCTTGTCGTCTCTCAGTTTCTTGCTTTGTCTCTCGTTTTTCTCTCTGCCCTACTCTTAAATGGCATATTCTAGAATCCTATCATAAATACCACATGACAAAAAAAATAATCATAAATACCTCATGTTTATTACTGTATTATTTTTCTATTATAATGATTAATTATTTGGTTATATTTTTAAAATTTTGAACCTTTAAATTTAGATATTGAAATTACATTATATTTATTTTTAAAATTTTAATTCATACACAATATTTATTATTTGTTATTTTGAATTCAAAAAATCTTTAAAATTAGGTCTAGTATGTTCTAAATAATTATAGTAACACATTTATTGTTTAACGATTTTCAATAGCATCCTTTCTTTTTTACCATATTTAATGTGTTAGAAGATGCATTTTAAACATAAGATACATGGATGTTGTTATTTTTTTTTTAAGAATTTTTTTGGAATTTTTTGGACCTTCTATATAGCATTTTATGCATATCAGCCGATACCGTACTGCAACGTCGCAACCGATGTGTATTAGTGCCCTCTGAGTCGATGGTCGATACCGCGACCTCGAACCATGGTCATCCATTGGCCAATGTTCCTTGCCCTTGTGAAGGAAACTTGATTCCAATTAAGAGCGAAAATAAGTAGAGATTGTTTTTTTTTTTTTTTTAAATAAGGAGGAATTGAATTAGTATCCATTTTGTGGACTCGAGCAAGGATATTGAGTAGACAGTTAATGTATCAAACTGAACTCTATCTTTCGTAGCATGCATTTCCATTCGTGTGGCAACTAATTCGGTAAGCTACATGTTTGGTACATGGAGGATTGCCTTTAGTCTCCCAAATTGACTTACTTCCTAGCCCCAGTGGGAGTGGTGACCAGCAATATAGGTGCTTGGGCAACCTGCCTTATATATTGATGGCTAGTTCAAGATCTTTGCAGTTTTAAACATTAGTTATGTTTGGGATTTGACAAAGTGGTGAGGTATTGACTTTGTTGCTTAGTATGTTTTTTTAGCTGCTCTTTGTTTTTTGTCTTGCTTTATTAATGAATATTTCTGCATAACCTTTGAATTTTTTACCCGAATCCTGCCATTTTATATTCTAATGAAAACATAAGGATTTAGCATATTTTTTAAATCATCTGGGGTAGCTTGCTTTGGTTTTGGTCCATTCATGTAACATACTTGTATGTTCCTGGAAGATGGGTGTCTGAGATTCGATCCTTATGGACTAACTGGAAAAGTACAATATAGAAATCCTGCATGGGGCAATCCAAAAATAAGTACCAGAATCCTACTCCCTTTTCAAAAGTCTTGATAAGTTTGACCATGGGTTGCTTGTTTTTGTGATCCTTTCTTTCGGATCTAATTGGAGAAGATGATAATGTTTTCTGCTATCTTGCTAAAGAAAGGCAGTTTTGGTTGAAGCATACCAGCTGGATACATGTTCTCTGGATTCTGTAACGGAACATCTTTTGATCATTCAATCTCATGCAATGTCTTCTTTTCCTAGTTCACCGAACTGGTTTTGTTATTGTTGCTTTTATTCCGTGTGGTTTTGTATTTTCCTTAAATTCAACAAGTAGTTTCTCTCGAATAGGTTGCCTAATCAGTGGGTTTTAATTCTTGATTTAGGTATCTAGCAAATCTTTGTAGGGCCTCCTTGATGTCCTTTTCCTCCTTTCAAATTTCTGGTAAGTTTTGCTGGACGTAGTTCTAAAGCCAATGCTTGAAGGCTTCCTATCATACATGGAAGCTTTAACTATGTCAGAAATTAGAGATGTTAGGTCTGGACAAGTTAAACAGCAACTTTGTAACATTTCTCGTCCCTTGTCATAATGGAGATGTTAGGTCTTAAACAGTATCTATAGCATGTAGTAATGTCTGACATTTAGTGTTGTCTTTTATTTTCCTCACATGCCTATTTCGTTGTTTTCCGTTGTTTTCACAAAGGAGTGGATGCTTCACTTTTCCTGTTGTAGGCCTTGCCAAGACTAGATGAAGATGGAGAAGCAAAGATGGAGTGACTTGGATTTGTTTGTGATTCAAAGCTTTCAAATTAGTAAAATAGATTAGGCTGGATGGATATATATAAGATTAATGGTAAAACTTGATTTTATGCTGTGTGAATTGACAGCTTTAATAATGCCTTTTCTGCAAGAAGTTGTTAAAGATCCATTAATCTATTTGAGGCAGTGTGTGCATCTCATGGCTTTTGGGTTTTACTAAAATTGTTCATCGTATTTTGTGTTTGTCTAAACAAACATGCGTGGCATCATGTCATATTTTTCTCATTTGGATGTAGTTGGAACATGATTTTGAACTACTAGTTGCGATTGGCGCATTCTTGACACATTTTGAAGTAGACTGGCCATTAGGGAAGGAGTGGCATCATCTGTCATATTTTTCCATTTGGCTATAGTGGGTACAGAATTTTGAAGTACACACATCATTAATGAAACTAACTGATTTTTTGCATTCATTCAGCTTGCAATGATGATGTGTGATGAATATTCTGAGGTTTGAAGCAAAATTTTATTTCTGAAATTCTACATTCTAAGACCACAATATCTGCTATATGTAGCCAAGCTAACATCGAGTGCAGACTGGACTATTGATTTTTCAGTTACGATTCTATTGTTGTTTAAGTATTTGTAGTTGATGGTAATAAGATCATCAAAACAATGCTAATATCTTGTATATCAATCAGCTTGCATTGATGACGTATGATGAATGTCCAAGGGTGTTCAAGCGAGTTTTCGTTCACAACCCAATGCTTTTCTGGAGGTGTGAGGCACACAGCAGATATGAGATGCCTCCTTTTCGACCTTATGATCGTACTCGTTTGAAAGTTCTTGAAAGTGTATCAAAGATCTTATACACTTGAGGATTGTCTCGGATTGAATCCTTTTATTTCTCTGCCTAAAAGATCAGAGAATTATAAAACCTTTTTCACGAAAATTTATTTGCATAAATAGAGAAATATACTCAAGGTTGCTTTATTATGGTGACTAGCATGACATTTTAATGCTTTTCCATTGTAAATTTATGTTGCAGAATTGATGATATCGTCAAGTCTCATGCTACTTTGGGGTTTGTGTCATATTCGAGTTGTGTTATTTTGGATTTGTACCATGTTTGTGTTGTGTTCATGTAATACAAGAATTTGCAATCACATGACTTAAAGTTATTTTTACATAAAATTCAAATTTACCATAAATAGTTCTTTATAACGAAAAAATCATTTAACTATAAGCAATTCATACAATACTTGATTAAAAAATTTAAAAATATATTTTAATTTTACAAAACCATTTAAACATTTTGTCATGTTAAAAATGGTATGAACTCAAATCCTAGTCTTTAGTTGGCCTGTATCATATTCAGATTCGTGGAGTGTTGAAATATTATGATGACAATTTCTACCCATACACATGAGAGAAGACAATTGTATTTATGATATTTCAGGTTATATAACAGGAATAACGAGATGAGTTATTTGATTACTATCAATTTCATCATAACCACAGGAATAAAGTTGTTCTAGATCAAGCTGAGATGGTAGAACCATGGATCAGAATTGCCTGTACATTTTCAGCACAAAAAGTCTGAAGAAAAACACTCAACGTTACATTGATTAGTTCAACACATTTCCACGGGTCATTTCAGATTACCAGTGTGAAGGCTTGCAAGCACCGAGGAGATGAACTTCATCCTTCCAGCATAGTATTCTGTGTTCACTAGGCAGGGGTCAATTCCTTCAAATTCAAGATTAGTTCGAAAAATAGACAGATTAAACCAATGCTAGGATGATCAGCAAAACATAAAGCACAAAATAGGTCTTACCGTATAGAAGTACTAACTCTAATGAACAATGAAGGAACATTAATATCACATCCAGTATTATAGATAAGGTATGGCAATATAAGATTCAATTGGGTACCTCTTCCTCTCTGGTTAAAGGAAATTATGAAAAACATGAGCTTTTTGAGATAGACCAGATTCCAGAACAAATTTGCAGTCTCCTCTTCTAAATTCATGCAAAGACATAGGAATCCTGGGACTAATCATCCTTTCAACTTCACAGACATTTTAATAACTTCCAAAAATGAGAGGGTAAATAATAAGAAGGAATAAAAGGAAACAATTGAAAATGTAAAATAAAGACGAGATATTTGCTATTAACACCACATTTAGTTCACATCTCTAGCCCCAAAAGAGGATAAACCCACAACCAGAATCAGAACTCTATTTGATGCCAATCATATCCACAGGACTCTTACATCTCTTGCTAGTGATGGAAGTAATAGTTAAGGGGAAATATCACTACATATTGTAATTTGTCAACCAATTTCGTGAAAGTGCAGTCGTAGCAGTTGATCGTTAAAACAAGAATCAAGCTTTCAATAACTTCAAACTATTCACTTCTGATAAATCCCTCTTATTCTTCAACAACATTGACCAACTCGTACTCCACTAGAGAGAGATTGTTATCTTCTTTAACTACAAATTTAGCAGGTTCAGTGACCTCAACACGTCCCCATTTGTCAACCGCTAGCCTCATGGACCCCTTGAACATGTCAATCTTTGCATTGCGCAGAATCACAGTGGTGTTTGGCTTCATAGCATCAACTGCACAGAGATGACACCATCATCAACCCAACTTAATAAGATTACACAAGGCTACATAACAAACTACATACCCATGTACATACATCTTGTCCTAAAAATCCCACTCTAACCAGGAAACCAGGAACCAAATAACATCATCACATAAGCACTTCCAAATTACTGTACCATATTAGTCTTAGAAAAGGGAGTGTTCTTGACAGACTCAGACTAAAATGGGTGAGGCTCCCATAAGATGAAAGCATCCTAAATCAGACTAAGGGCATGTAGGAACATGTAAGTGTTTCACAAGCCCACATCTAACAGATAGGGCGTTTATCACCGACACTCAGATAAACATCCTTATGAGCAGGGGAATTTACAAACAAGAAACTACCTCATTAGAATCAACGATTACCCCATTGAGGCCATAATCGTATGTAAAGCAAATATCCATAAAATATAACAATGCAGCACATATTGCATTACAGTAAGATAACGAGTACCTTAAAAACTGATTTCCCAAGTTAAAAACAATGACAAGAGGATGATTGTAGGAAACAATGACAAGAGGATGATAGTAGGAAGGTTATATGGAAAATTATGGTAGATTATAGTTGATGGGTGTGAAATAAATCATGTTCTTCATTGTCTGTTGGTATAGAAGAAGATTTTTTAGTAAAGACCAACACGCATTACCTAAATTTATTGAGCCAAAGGGACGAAATGTTAAACTTCCAGAAGCAGCAATACAAGATATTACAAGTTCAAAATCATCAGATTTCCATATACCATAAACCAACCAAAACATGTAACCAAAAAGGAAAAAATGCGACAGTCACCGTGCACTTGCAGGCAAAGAGTTGTGAAGCAATAGAAATGGACAGATTTTTTTTCCCCTCTTCAAGAGCAATCCAAAATATCAACCTGGATCACCTAAATGACATTTTAACCAGGTCCTAGAAAATGAAAAATCTGTAAACCAAAAAAATCGGTAGTCTCATGTTTCCCCCATTTTTTTAGCTCACATACGAAAGACTAAAGCTTTACACTGCAAAAAGTCAAAGTCAAATAAAAATCCAACAGATTATAAAAGCGACACGAATTCAAGGTTCAGCTCCAAAACATTACGTGTGTTTGGAACAGGAAGGCCTTCTACAATGAAGGTTTCAAGTAAAGCCTCATTTTCTCCTCTATTCATTTTCTCAGATAGCAAACAAACCACAATGATTCACAAACCTAAATTCCATATGGACAACCACTCATAAATCCCACCATCCATTTCCAATAAATCCATCAAAAAATAAATCAAAACACCATAATCACAAAACAAACCACAAGGATTCACAAACCCAAAGTCCATATGCACAACCACCCATAAATCACACCATGCATTTCAAATAAATCTAACAAAAAATAAAATCAAAACACCATAATCACAAAACAAACTACAAGGATTCACAAACCCAAATTCCATATGCACAGCCACCAATAAATCCCACCATCCATTTCCAATAAATCCAACAAAAAAATCAAAGAAAAAGCAAAAAACTATAGTCACCACGGACACTCGCATATTAATTACTAATATGCCTTGTTCTATTTTGTTTGGCAAAAAGAACTATACCTTGTTCATTACGGGCAGTGAAGAGAATAGTACCAGTCTCGTCACCAACGAGGCACTCGGCAATACGAGTACGAGGCCGTGGATTCAGAGGCACTGCCAATGAATTACCACCACGACCACCACCGCTCTTTTGCGTCACCGGATTCGAGCTCACCACCTTCACCGTCAGCGTATGTCCATTCGTTCCGGGCTTCAGATCATTCACCTTAACAAACACAGGCTTCCTCTTCGCCGCCGTGGTATTGGGCGTCGCCGTAGTTGCCATAGCTCCCTGCACTCACAAAAGTCCTAACTCTAATTTCTATAAAATTGAAGAATTCGAACTTCGAAGCCTTAGGGTTTTTGGTTTGGTTACTTTTTGGAGCATATTTTAAGAGACGCTGGAAAGCACAAGCTAAAATTTCACTAATAAAAATAAAAAATATACTCTAACAAAATATATTCAGATACTCTTAAATAAATTTTTTCTACAGTAATATACTAAATATTACCATAACAATATGTAAAATTTATTTATAATATTTTCTTTCTTTTCTTTTTTTTTTTGTTTCATTCTTTCCCTTTTTGTCTTTAATTTTTCTCAAAAAAAATAATATAAAAAGAATAAAAAATAATATTTAAATCGAGTAATTAAAAATATAAAAAATTTGTTAGAATATGTATTAAAAAAATGAGAAATTAAAATAAAAAATATAATTTTTTGAATAGCTAAAATAAATTTTATTGTTATAGATGCTCTTATTATTTGGGTCTTCGTTGTGTACGTGTAGTAATTGTAAAGGTATGATTCCCTTCCCCTTTATTAGTGGAGCTAGAATAATCGTACGGGACGGCAAAAGTGAAAGATTTTCGGATTGTGGTGTTGGTAGTAATCGAATGGATCGATTTGATGATATGGAATGTTCTTATTAAAACTTCTCATATTTTATATTATAAATATTTAAAATTTAGAAATAAATAATTAAAAATTAGATTAAAGTATCAAAAAAAAATCTCTAAATTTTATAACGTTAAATGGGTTTGTTGAAAACCAAAAAAAAATTAGGAAAATTTTTTTACACCTCTTATAATTATATCTAAATTCAATGATACCTCCTCTTAATTCTAAAATTTTATTGATATCTCTTATTAGTTATTATCTGCTTACGATGTTAACGACGATCATTTTTATATTTTATAGAATAAATTTCATCTACACTCCTATAAATAGGCCTAATTTCAATGATGTCCCCTTCCGATTCTAAACTTTTACGGCACTCTATTGTAGTTCTATTATATTAACCTTCATGTTCATCAATTTAATATTTAATTTTTTAAAATTAATGTCATTTCTTTAGTTTAAACTAAATTAACATTTAATCTCATCAAATCAACACAAAATTAATATTTAATTTAATTTAATACTAAATTATTATTTAATTTCGTCATATTAACACCAAATTAACCTTTAATTTTATCAAATTAAAATTTAATTATATTAAATAGAATATTAAATTCCATTAATTTAACATTTAAACTTATCAAATTAATGTCACTGTTTTAATTTAATACCAAATTAACATTCAATTTCATCAAAGCAACATTTAAATTTATTCAGCTAACATTAAATTTTATCAAATTAATACTAAATTAATATTTAATTTTATCAAATTAATATTTAAATGTATTAAATTAAAATAAATTTTATTCAATTAGTATTAAAATTTATCAAGTAACATTTAAATTTGATATGCGAAATGTGATGTGTAAAAAGCGGTCGAGTGGAGTTGTGGAGGACAAACAATAATAGAGGAGTTGAAAAATTCGATTTATGTAATTAAATGAGTGATAATATGATGACTAATATACTAATATTAGCTAATATCCGTGTCTGAAGGTACTATATGACACAACAAAATTGTCTGAATAAAAAATCAAACCTACAAAAATTAGCAAATGGAAAAAAAAATTTAGTAACCAAAAAAGTAATCATAGAACCCACAAATATTAATTGAGCTAAATAAGATGAAAGATTACCTCAGCTAATAACCAAAAACTCCTTAAATTAGTAATTGAAACTCTTGAATGAACTACACAAAGTTAGGTGCATACAAATTAGTGAAGCATGCACAACTATAAATAAAAGAAACTGAAAAAAAAAAAAAAGAAACAAAAATTGTCAGGTCAAACAATAGAATGTCAAAAATATACACAAACCTCCTAATTTTCATTCACAGAAGTTTTTCCAATATAACATGTTAGTCGAATGAGCAATTCGGCAAAGCAAAATATTTTAATTCTATACAAATGTTTTTGCCTTTATACTTTATTACTCACACTATGCTAAAATGAATCCCATTTCATTTGATTTTGGCAAAAGTTTCTTGAAAAAAAAAAAATCAAATCAACTTAAAAGTTAATTGTCAATTTTTCTGGTCAATAAGTAATATATAATTATAAAAACATCTGTTAATAATATCAAAGATATTGTTTGACTATAGAGAAAAAAAAATACCATAAGCAATGTTAAAGTCGCAACAGTAAAACAAAGTTATAACTGAAAAAACATATATGAGAATAGAATACTACTCTATCAAACAGTGTACATTTGCAATTGATGATCCTGAAAATTTCATCAATTAAAAAGTCAACATTATTTTAAGCCAAAGAAAAAGAGTAAGATTCCAAAGTGCACCACTTACCAAATATTAAGAAATGAACCAATTCATGGCTAAGAAAATCAGCAAGTAACTACATTCATCGATGTTCAATTCCCCATTCAAAGTAGTCATACACTAAATGCACCTATTTGACATTCATGTTTCATTTCAATCCTAAAGTTGAATAATTATTCTAAAGCAAGCAAAATTTATATCATTCATAAAAGCTGAAAATGCATCCTAAACTAAAAGCTACAAATATATCTTAGAGTTGACTTTTATATATCCTATGAGGTCACCTCTGATATGTCATTGCTAGCTGGTTAAAAACGAAGTTGGGGAGGAAGAGATCACTAACTGGTCATTGGTCTGGTCATAATTTTCAATAAATAGAGATAAGTAAATAATTGTAATGCCAATACATTCTTGAAAGAGACAATAAAGTACAATAAGAGTGAATATTTAGTAAGTAAAAATGCAAAAATAGCATAAACACCATTGTAAAGGCTTGCAAAACTTCATGAAAAGATAGTCATTGAGACTTGCAAAACTTCTGGATCACACCATTGTGAAGACCTGCAAGGATCAAAGATAGTCATTGAGACATTTCATTAAACACTTGTTATGCTAACAATTATACTAAACTAAAGCAATTGGATATAATGATCTAGCCCCTTCATTTGGTTTCGTTGATCATAATTTAACCTTGGAAAACAAAAATTGAAAACAAACAAAGAGAGAAAGAAGATCAAATATAGAGAGGGAAAAACTTGAATACATAAAGAGAAAGATAGAAGTGAGATTGAGATGAATTTCATGACAGAGATTTTGGGGATGAGTTTGGAAGACAGAGATAGAGACGTGAGATATTTGAGAGAGAGAGGCGTGAGAGAGATTGGGAAAGAGAGACATGAGTCAGGAAATGTTGTTGGGCGAAAAAACAAAATTCAGTACTCACTGTAGTCTGTCGGATCAATATTTATGAGATGATTTGAACCGTCATTTATGTTGGGATTACATTATCCTTTGGATATGTTTATGTTTTATCTCAAAACGAACTGAACTTCTCTTTGTCTCCAAAATTCAAACTTAACTTTACTTTATTATTATATATAAATTAATTTTTTAAAATTTTGTTTGCTTGTTTGCATTTTTGACCTTATTATGTTGAATGATTTTATTTTGCTTAAAAATAATTTTATTAGATATAAATAAATCATCCTATTTATCAAAAAAATAATAAACTAAACTCTGTAAAGTGTAGTTGTTCTCCGATAATAATGATGGTACGATGCCAAAAAAATTTCTTCGATATTGTAGACTAGGTATGTCAGTTGTATCGAGTGAGGCAGATTCATGTCGTGTCTTCATAAGTTCGTGTAAAAAAAATATTTCACTAATATCTGATTCATTTATTAATTCGTATGTAACAAATTATGTCATATCTGATTGGTGTCATTTATGAATTGTGTATAAACGGTATATAAATAAGTCGTGTCATGTATTTCTTTTGATTAAATTCATTTAAACTCGATTCATTTATTAATTATTAATCGTGTTGTGTTGGGTCTACTCGTTTACGAAATTGGTAACTTAAGAAAACTCAGACCCCATTTGTAATCGTTTTTGTTTTGACTTTTGGTGAAAATAAGAAAAAAAAACTCGTTTAGTAACCATTTTTATTTTTTTTTCCTTGTAATCGTTTTGAAAATGAGGGGCAATTTCAAAAAACGAAAAAAAAAAAGTCATTTTCCAAAAAAGCAAAAACGCTTAACGCACAGCCAAGTTTAATGAGGTCTAGACTTCAAATTTTGTTGGGAGCAAAATACTCATATATTGAATACCAATATAAATAGTCTTTCTCATCTAACCTATGGTCTTTTTCTCTTTTGAGAGCCAACGCCTGTTGCTCTCCATCTCTTCTCTCTCTCTCTCTCCCTCTCTTGTCAAAAACTTTCTTTCTCTCTCTTGTTTGAAGTTAATTATGTCATCACTTCAAATATGTCACTTTGAGACATAATTTCTCATTTAAATCTTAATGATTTTGAACAAATAAATATATCATGTTAATCTCCTCGCAGAGGAGAACACATTTATACTTGGTCCCATCAATTTTGAGGTAAGAGTCTCACTTTTATTTAAGCCTTAAGTTGCTCAAATAATTTGTTTAAAACCATTTTTTGCAACAAAATTCCCTCCCCCAAGAAAATACACTAAATCCATCTTATAGAAAAATAAGCATACCAGTTTCAAAGACACAGTTAAGGAAGATTTCCCTCGGGTTTGCGTGAGATGGTGTAACTAAGGGTGTTAAATTTGTTAGGTTAAACAGTTACGTGTGTCGGGTTAAACAGGTGACGGGTGAAAAACATATAAGTCCATACACGACACGTTTAATAAACGGGTGAAAAACTTCAACCCAAACACGAACCATTTAATATACAGATAATACGACACGACTCATTTAACCCCGTTTAATTTTATTAAAATTTTAACCCACACTAAAAAAATATTCTATTAAAATTTTAAACTCCATTAATTACCTACACCAACTGTACTCTCTTAATTAAAAATTTTCCAGCTGCTACCACTTACAAAAGTAAGTGAGACGGTTGAATAACTAAAGGAAGGCACTGCAACTTTTTATAAGCATGAGTGGTCTCCTTCATTTGAATTTGTCAATGTGGAATTCAAGCCAAAAACTTTCACTGTGTGTTTATTGTATAAGTTTAGTTGTCTTATTTGA